TTCCTTAACACGGCAGCATAGAAGTAGGGATCGCCCCGCGCGGCCAGCTTTCAGTAATCCGCCCGGGCCTCGCCACTTATTCTGCCGCGCTAAAGAAGAACGCCGTATGGACCTTTAAGCGTTGCCAAATTTCCTTCGATAAAACAACAATTTCCTGGTAAACTTATGGATATTTTTTCCCCAATTTTGCTGATAATTTTCCTCGCAATTCCACAAAAAAGTCCTGAAAATTTCGAGGGGTAATATTCATAACTTTCCTGAGAAATGAACATTTTATCGAGGGAACTTTGGCAACTCTCGAATGTTCATACGGCGTTCTTCCTTAGCACGGCAGTATTCTCCCCTCTCCTTTTAAATAAAATACCCGCGGCCCACTCGGATATATTTAGATTCTTATTCATTCGTGATTTCCGTAAAATAAACAGATTTCCCTGCACTGCCCGCCGCCCCGGTCGCACCGCTTCATCTCCAGAGACGCTCCCGACGATTTGATGAATGGACCAAGAGAAACGTTTGTTACGCTATTCGCTCAATTTTCTTCTGGGTATATTTGGATTACATTTTGCGATAAGGAGCCACTATTTCTGGTCCATTTCAGAAACAACATACTTGCCATTGATTTCCCTATGCAGAAAGGGGCTTTTATGGAAGAGCCAGAGAGAGTGGTTCCTTATTGCAAAATGTAATCCATTTGGATTACATTCTGCAGTAAGGAAACACTATTTCTGGCTCATTTCAGAAACAACATATGGATCACATTTTGCAAAAAGGAACCAGAAGCATTGCAATGTTGCTAAGATTGTGCAACTTCACCCATTTCGGTATAACGATTCATATGCTGAAAAAATATGAAATTTACATGCAATTTTTGTCCTTAATTTACAGTTTTTAGCAAGTAAACTAGAAACTGATTAGAGATAATCAGATGTTCCTCCCAAGAGAAAAGGAGCTGCACAATCTTAGCAATATTGTAATGCTCCTAGTTCCTTTTTGCAAAATGCAATCCATATGTGCCATTCGTTTCCCAATGCAGAAAGGTGCTTCGATAGAAGAGCCAGAGATAGTGGTTCCTTATTGCAGAATATAATCCATTTCGTCGTTTCCCTTACGAAAGAACGTGACTATATTTGGATTGCATTTTGCAAAAAGGAACCAAGAGCGATCCATCGTTTGCTAAGATTGTGCAGCTTACATTGTTTGCAAAAAAATTACTGAAACCTTGCAAAAAGTTAAATCTACTATACTAATTTTTGTATTAAATTTATAGTTTATACGTAGTAAAGATAAAACTTGTTCAGATAGTCAGTTTATACTTATTTGCAACGTAAAAAAAGCTGCACAATCTTAGCGACATTGGAATACTCGTGGTTCCTTTCTGCAAAATGCAAGCCATTTGGATCGCGTTTAGCAACAATAAACTAAGCCACATCAGCTGCTGCCAAATTAAAAACTTACAGGCAATATAATTTCTCACAAGATCTCAACGCGTATAAAAAACAGCGCAGAGATAAAAGTATTTGTATAGAGTTACACGTACGCGAGGATTCGGGAGGAAAAATTAAAAACGAGACGCTCTCTCCTAATCTCGGCTGTGTTGCTCACATAGCCCTTGAAGCACCACAACCACTCGATATGGAAATAACGCGAGGGAAAGGACGCGCGTTCATGACGGCGCAGAGATACAACTATTCGTACTTGATGGATGTCCGTGTTGCGTGTGCAAAATTGAAGGCGCGATGGCGCGAGGAGTGAACTCGCAGTGCTCCGTTCCATGCTGCTAGTGAGATGTCGCTCGGATTCGGGAGAAAAGTTAAAAATGAGAATGGTGGTTAAAAATCTACGAATTGCAATTTCGAACATACGACAAATGGCCTGTTTCATTTCATGTTCTGGACACAACACTAGAAAAAACTTCGCTTGGATCTAGAGTCTAGACTCTTAATAACATTGACGAGAAAAAATACTCTTGATTCAATCCGATTTTTCCTTGAATCGAAGAGTTGAGCCTCTCGATTTAGGCGGATCTTCTTTTGATTTAAGCAAAAGGTCCGATTGAATCAAGAGTATTTTGTCTTGTCAATGTTTTTAGAAGTCTGGACTCTAGATCAAAGCGACTTTTTTTCCAGTGAACAAAAAAAATCTATAGTTAGGAATTGACAGAAAAGGGTATCATTTTACTCGAAGCAGCAGCCTTCGCGCGGAAAAATCGAGACTAACTGGCTGTTTTCCTTGAAACGACTTCAATTTTTGAGCACTTACTGCCTTCTCATATGGATCTCGTTTTAGTATATGTTACGGGCAAATACCCAAACCTAGGCTCATGGCGATGTGCTTGGGCGGATCGCGAAATGTCCAAGAAAATTTTGAGCCGATTCCACAACAAACGCAGACTAGTGGATTTGCCCGGGCAGATTGCGATGTGACCAAATCATGTGGGCAAATCTTGCAAAAACCACCATTTTTTTCGGATTTGCTCGGGCTTACTGATCTCTTCAGGGCCGAACAGTTCAACGTTGAGTCCCTACACGGAGAAAACAACTTCGTGCATGGGACCCGAAGATGAGGTCATGTAGATCTCTGAAGTTTTCGGATCACGCATCCGAAAACTTGAAGTCCAGCTGCCGAAGTTCGGGTCACACATCTGAAGTAATTCGGTATATACCGAAGGGTTCGGGCCACACATCTGAATTACTCCCGTACTTACCAAAGTACTTCAGATTCCTGACCCGAACTTCAGCAGCTGGACCTCAGGTTTTCGGATGCGTGATCCGAAAACTTTAGAAATCCACATGACCTCAACTTCGGGTCCCATGCACGAAGTTTTTTTCTCACAAATAGTGTAAAGTAAACGTTTCCGCCATTGCCAAGATCCCAACGGAGGGTCTCTTTTTGTCTCAGGCATAAGGCAGCCGGCAACAACGATTAAGGTTCCGAAGGTCTGCCACATACCTTAACGGGAAGCCTTACGAGCGATTGGGCCGCCTGCCGCCCCGGCGCGTCGTGAAATTGCTATGATTTGAAGCGACGAACGACGCGGCGCACAGTGGATCGGGCTAATAAAAGAGATCGGACAAAATCTGGAAACTTTAAACGCTTATAACTCCGTTCATACAAAACTTTACGGTTCTAAAAGTGGTTTCATTGATTTCCTCGTCAACTTTTCTTCGGAAAGCACCCCTTGAAATGTATAATGTGACGAAACAAACATCAAAATGGGCAGTTTTAGTCAAAAATTTCATGTCCGACTTTTCTGATGGACTCAATCCACTGTGCGGCGTCCGGCCCACGCGGATGAGGTGACGAAGGAAATTTGATTCCGCGGTCGGAAAAGTGACCTCAGGTATGAATTAATTTCAGTACAAATAAATAAAGAATAAGAAAAGGGGGAAGAGGAAGGACATGATTCCAGCGACTGACGACGGTGCCAGGAATAACAATGAGAACTTCAAAATGGAAGAAACACATCAAGCTAAGTATCTGGAGCGTGCGGTTTTGAATTAATTGAGTTTCCTCCGCGGGTGGAATTCAGTGGCGTGGCGTGAATTGCGATACATCGATTGTTATATCATTTAAACATATTGAAAAGGATCGATAAACAGGGTGTTCGCAGCGAACACCTTAATAATCGATTCTTAGCCATAGGTTTAAATGGCATAACAATCGATATATCGCAATTCACGCCACGCTACTGGTGGAATTTTATTCAAACGCACTTCGGACTTCTTCTGCCGCACCAAGAGAAAACGTCGTAGACCATCGTGATAAAGAAAAACGACGTGTGAACATCCGAATGTTGCCACATTTCCAGCGAGAAAATATGAATTTTTGAGGAAAAACATGAGTATTTTTCTACGAAATTCTTAGATAATTTAAATCAATTTGCGAACAAAATTCTGTAAAAAATTGTAAGACAAACACTGGAAAAAAACACATTGGATCAAGAGTCCAGACTCTTAAAAACATCGACAAGAAAAAATACTCTTGATATAATCAGATTTAAGCTTAAATCAAGAACCGAGCTTCTTAATTTGAGCGGATTTCCTTTTGATTTAAGCTTAGATCTGATTGAATCAAGAGTCCATTTTCTTGTCAACGTTTTCAAGAGCCAGGACTCTACATCCAAAGTGTTTTTTTTTTCCAGTGAATATTCACAGGTTTCCCCATAAAATTCGTGTTTTATGTGAGGGAAAATGGCAACGTCTGAGGACTGATACGACGTTTATCCTTGGCACGGTTATCCTCGGGATATTACCACGATTCTTGAGATAAAATAAAAAAATTTCAAGGAAATCGTGAATATTTTCCGCCCAATTTTTCAGGTAATTTTACTCGCAGTTTAATTTAAGGTATCTTGGTTTCAGTAAATAACATTCATACATTTTCCATCAGATAATTTTTCTGTCGGAGGAAATAGGGCGATATCTGAATGTTCATACGGCGTTTTTCCTTAGTACGGCAGTCTTCCAGTGAGACCGTAAATCACGGCAATTCTGCCATGGTCGGGTAAGGATGCTGTATAAACATTCGAAGGTTGCCAAATTTCTCCTGACAAATTGTCAATCTTCAGAAGAATTTGAAAGATTTCTCTTCAAGATTTCCAGAGACTCTCTATAAAATTGAAAGAAAAAGTTGATGATCATTCGAAGAAATTCACAAACGAATTACCAAAAAAATCATCAGTAGAAATTTCGCAACATTCGAATGTTCATAATGCGTTCTCACACGGCTGTCGAACGAAGTTGCATCTAGAATAATTTGCAGGTGATTTTAGCACCCGCAACAGAGATTTTACACCTAGAAAGAGGAAGTCTCCAGGGAAATGTTGAAGATTACTTCAAAATAACCATTGAGAGGAGTCGTTTGAATTGGTTTTCATCATCCTTCTTCAGAATAATACAATGTAACTATACATGCAGAATTATTAAAAGAAAATGTATCTAAGCAGACTTGCTTTGCTGATGGAGAAGAGAGAAGCGGGAAAACATGTTGTGTAATCTTACCTTAACAAGCAGTTCTGCAATTCCACCAAGAATCATCCAAATGTGCAGTTTAAAATCGTCAGAAAATAAGTTCTGCAGCGATGACACAAAGCGAGAAATCACCCGGACACTATCTCATTCTTATCTGGGCAAACTAGTTTTAAAGGAGTCAGAAAAACGAGATTCAGGAACGATACATTCTTTCCGTCGAATTTTATTTTAAAGTGATATACTGAGCTCAAGGGACTGAAGCACAATATTATAATTCGTGATTATTATAATTTTCTTTTATTTTTTTCCCTTCTTCTCTTTCCGCTATCGCGGTAGACGTAGGATCTTTATAAACGTGCCGGAAATGGTGGATAATTGCTAAGATCTATCCAAAAATACACTTCATGACTACTTTTAATGCTTCACAGACAATTTTTCACAGATCTCTTTCGGTGGGCATCCTTGCGAAAAGCTACTTTCGGCTGATGACGAAAGAGACAAGGTCACCTGGAACACACATAATGGTATAGTTTTAATAACGTATAGTATAGGGCATTAAAATGGTATGATTTTAATCTCATAAACAGTTCAATTGATTTCTTATCTGGTGATGAGCTTGTTCAGTAAATTCTGGCATTTTTGAAAGATAGAGGTGGCTCATTTGAATTCTTCCGAACTTTTTTGAACGGTATTAGGCCCCAAAAAATAAGTCATCCGAGTGCTTAAAGTCGTAGCTTGTTTAAGGGTCCATTCGATCTGAAAATGCGAACTTTCCTGACTTTCATCGGGAAAAATATTTTATCGGAAGAAACTAGGCAACGTTGGACTGCTCATACGACGTCGAAACACAGCATGGGCCTCATTGCCCCATTATTCGATGCTACGATTATTTTAACGCGAGTTCGAATAATCGCGCCAAGCACAGTGCGGCCGACGCGCCGTTGAACGCATTAGCGCCTGCAAGACTGAAAGAATACTTCCCGCATTGCGCCGAACAGTGCGGTCGCCACGGTCGGCGGGAAACACTAGCGCCTACAAGACTGCATGAATACTTCTCGCATTGCGCCAAACGCAGTGCAGTCGCGCAGTCGGTCAGTTTGCGTGAAAAGCACATCAGCGCCTTAGACCAAGCATTGCGCACACAGCACGGTGCGCGCTTTAATCAGCGAGTTCCACACGTTCAAACTAGTGGTTTAGTCTGGGGGAATCGATGCGGGTGTTGACTGTTGACTGTTGAGATTCAAAGGTCAGCGGGCTGATGACTTTAGAACCAAAACTCTGAATCAACTTGTCTCAACGAAACATATCGCTTTCTTTAATTTGTAGATGAAGAATGTGAAAATTTTGCCGTTTTAACTAAAACTCGCATCGATGCCCCTAGACTGAACCTCTAGTTTGACCGTGTGTAACGGGCTATCGTAATTTCTCGGTGTCAGGCCCATCACCCGCGGTGTGGTGGACACAATATCCTACTGCCTGTGTCACACTATCAAAACACTCCCATCAAAATTTCGAGGTCCGAATGCTCGCGCAGCAGTTTCTTAGAGCTATTGTGAGCTATGAAACACAGAACGACGAGGGTAACACGAATGGAAGGATTCAAAGGCATTTTTGTGATACCGAAAAAAAGAGATTTTTTTAAAATGAGAAATTACGTAAAAACTCGAGACACGGACGCTCTTTAAACTCAAACATTAGGGTAAAAACAAGCTTTCGTATTTAAGTTTTTTAATAGTATACTACAAGATGAGTTCTACTCAAAATAATTGACGCGTCATGTATATATTAGATATGTATTTTTCCCCCGAAAATATCACTTCAAACTTTTATCCGTATTGCCTCTCCTTTAAGAAATATCGAGTGATTTGATTCCGAAATTTGTGAGTACTCCTAGGAATCACTACTTGACTTATTCCAAAATTTGTGAGTGCTCCTAGAAATCACTACTTGACTTATTCCAAAATTTGTGAGTGCTCCTAGAAATCACTACTTGACTTATTCCAAAATTTCTGAGTGCTCCTAGAAATCACTACTTGACATCTCCTTGAGTAAGCTCCGCTTATGACGTTTTAAATACAGATGAAGAGCGCACAGAGATTTAAAGTCATCGGAATTTTCCTTTCTTTCTTTCTTAATAAATTTTGGGAAATGACGAATTAAAAGATGTAAATCAATCTTCGATCTTCTCTCCTTTGTGAAAGAACTGAAACGCGAAAGCTAAAATTCTATGAAATGCATTTAACCCACATTCCTTGGCAACGGAGACAAATCAACGCGTCTTGGCTCGAATGAAGTCGTGAACACAGCGTTTTATCACGCTTTATTTTACGATCAGTGGGGGCCACGAACTTTCGGATCGAGAGAATGAAGCAATCGAGATCGTACGGATTTTTTTATCCACTTTGAGCGATGAAAATTTGAAGTACCAGAGCTGCTGTGCTACGGAAAAACTTCGTATGAACCAGTGGCGTGGCGTGAATTGCGATGCATCGATTGTTATGCCATTTAAACGTATGGTAAAGAATCGATTATTAAGGTGTACCCTGTTAATCGATCCTTTTTCATAGGTTTAAATCGCATAACAATCGATAAATCGCAATTCACGCCACGCCACTGGTATGAACTTCGAAATTTGCCAAATGTTCACGGATAAAATATGTAATTTTTAGGAAAGTTGTGTATATTTTCCCTTGAAATTTTCGAAAAATTACGATTAAGTTGCGTGAAAAATTGTCCGAAAATTTAGAGGAAAAATATTCACAGATTTTCTTGAAAATTCGTATTATACCTGAAGCTATTTGACAACACCTGAAGGTTCATACGGCGTTTTGCCTTAGCACGGCAAAGAGATTTAGTATTTCTACTAGAGGGTTCGAATACTTGAGAGTGATATTAATTGAACGTATTTCTGCCAAACGGAACTATGTGCATTAATACATGAGCCCTGAGAACCATAAGAATATATGCATGGCAGGGCTCACGTCATAATGCACATAGTTCCGTTTGGCAGAAATACGTCCAATTGAACAATTTCATTTCGCATTTAAAAGGACTGGATAATCTGTCAGCGACAAGTAAAGCAAAAAATAAGTGTTCTAATTTTGGTTGACAATTCGAAAAATGTCTCCTAAAATATTAAAAGACGCAATACTGAAAAACCCGTCCTTTCCTCCGAAGGTTATGACCATTCAAAAGGAAAAGTAAATAGAAGTCACGGCACCCTGGTTAGTATGAACCACGGGATGTGTGAAGAACGAGTTTTTTCCACACATCTGTCCGCATGGAAAACAGACTCGTACACTCGTACAGTTTATTTACGATCGAAGCTCCCTGAAAACTGCGTAATTCCGATCTCGAACTTTAAATAGCTCTTGCGTCGACAATGTTTATAAGCTTAAGGCTTTCTTGGTGGCAAACTACGTAAAAAATACTCCTCAGTGCTTATAAAAGTAATCGCCGATGGAAGCGAATACCTCTGTGTATTACGGAGAAGCCCCAATCCTCAAACACTTTTTTGACAGAGAGGAAAAGAATTTGTCAGAGATTACTTCTGAAGGTATGTGACTAAGTATCAAAAAAGGAAATAGAAAGTCGAATATTGGAGTCATGAATGCAGTACGCAAAAATTAGGTATAATCGATGGCATAACTCGGAAACTGCACGTATTTCGAATGCGGTGTTTCGAAATTCACGCTCCTACCTACTCTACGTTTTCAGAAGGAAGCGAGAGAACATCATTGCTTGAAATTTTCACACAATAGTTTTTAAGGAGAGAAAAAAATTACGTTGGTGTGTTCTGCCTTTAAAAAATTAATATAAAGAGTCTGATATTTCGCGATCGAAGATGCGTGAAACTAGAGGAGCATGCATTTCAGTAGCAGCACTTCAAAATTTTATTTTGCGTACATTATCAAGAGAAAACTACGTACGTAATAATGTTGTATGAGATTTTTAGAGAATTTTTTCATGATTCAAAGAATATGAGTGAAATTCGATTTATCACTGTCGATTCGCGACACGGTCTGGAAGAAAGGCCCTCGCGAAAAAATCTCTCGTCGAATTAATTCCTCCATTGATTTGGTTTGATCTAACACAGGACTGCTCACTCACGATATACGTAGAAATATAGAGTGAAACAGGTCATGAAAATGCATAGCGCCTTCATCTCGGCAGACGGGCAAGAGGACCCTCTCACGTGTCGAATTAGTTGTAGTCGTTATGTTCGCTTAATCTTATAGCCAGGAGGAGATTCAGATGGATTTACTCAGAATCAGCCTATCTACAGCTACAGTTGCCTGATTTCTTCTTAAGTTTTATTTTTTCGCCAGAAAACAAAGCAACATTCTGTCTTGAAATTTTTTGAGTGCGTATATTCTCCAAATAATTGGCGGAAAACTCAGAAAACGTATCAAGGCGTTATGTTGCTCAGTTTTCTACTGCAAAATGAAACATGAGAGGATTGGGGCAAAAATCAGTGTAGTTATAGGCTGATTATGGTTGAATCCGACGATATCTGCGTGAGAATAATGCTTTTCAGCACGCCGCACAGTGGATAGAGTCAATTAGAGAGGTCGGACATGAAATTTTTGACTAAAACTGCAAATTTTGATATTTATTTTGTCACATTTTAAAAGGGTGGTAATGTTTACAAATTTCACGAGGAAACCAACGGAACCAGTTTTAGCACCTCAAATTTTTGTGTAAACGGAGTTATAAGCGTTTAAAGTTATTCTAAATTTTGTCCAACCTCTCCTATTGACTCGATCCACCGTGCGCCGTTCTATGATTAAATGAAAGAATATGACGATAGGACACGACTACGAGCCGGAAAACGCGGAGAGAGGAGATGAAGTGTACCTGGGCCTCGAGTCGAGCTGCTGGACGCGGAAACGTGAAAAACCCCGCGGTTACTCGGACAAAAAGCGCGGAAAGGATCGACCTCGCTCACATGGAAAGCAGCGCCAAACTGGCGCCCGCGAGCCAAACAAAATGTTGGGTGGCGAAGGCGGAGTGCCGCGAACGTGGGAGAACCAGGGTCGCCAAACCGTCTGAGAATCGTGCTTAAACTGCCGTACTAGGGAAGAACGCCGTATGGACCTTTGGGCGTTGCCAAATTTCTTACGGTAAAATACGAATTTTCTGGAAAACTTGCGTAAATTTTCCGTCCAATTTTCCAGGGAATTGTCTTTGCGATGTGATCTAAAGTATCAGAAGATTTCAAGTAGAAATATTCATTTTTTCTCTCAAAAATCAATATTTCAGGAGGGGAAATTTGGCAACTCTCGAATGTTCATACGGCGTTTTTCCTTAGCGCGGCAGTAAAGCGATCCATCTCTAAGCGACGGTGGTGAGGAAGAAGACATCGCACGGTTACGTCGGGTACCATTTCCATTCATCAATGATTGGAAAGCGCCTATCTACGAGCTATGATCGATTTAAAATGAAGTAGAGGCTCCAATATCCGCGATTCGGACTATCCGCGGTTTCTCCGGACTTGCTTCGGTTTACTCTTAAGTCCCTCATTCTCGAGGACTATAGGCCATTCAGGGGGCTTTAGTATTAGTAGTGGTAGGTAAAAAGAATCTCAACTATCCGCGATTTGGATCATCGTCGGTTTTGATTCTCAACGAACGACTTTAAAGTCCCTCATTCTCAAGGACTATGAGCCATTCAGAGGGCTATAGTAATAGTAGTGGTAAATAAGAAAAGTCTCGATTATCCGCGATTTGGATCATCCGCGGTTTTTTCGGACTGCTTCGGTTCGGATTCTCAACGAACGACTTTAAAGTCCCTCATTTTCAAGGACTATGAGCCATTCAGAAGGCTTTTCGTAATGGTAGTGGTAGATAAGAAAAGTCTCGATTATCCGCGATTTGGATCATCCGCGGTTTTTTCGGACTGCTTCGGTTTGGATTCTCAACGAACGACTTTAAAGTCCCTCATTCTCAAGGACTATGAGCCATTCAGAGGGCTATAGTAATAGTAGTGGTAGATAAGAAAAGTCTCGATTATCCGCGATTTGGATCATCCGCGGTTTTTTCGGACTGCTTCGGTTCGGATTCTCAAAGAACGACTTTAAAGTCCCTCATTTTCAAGGACTATGAGCCATTCAGAAGGCTTTTCGTAATGGTAGTGGTAGATAAGAAAAGTCTCGATTATCCGCGATTTGGATCATCCGCGGTTTTTTCGGACTGCTTCGGTTTGGATTCCTAACGAACGACTTTAAAGTCCCTCATTCTCGAGGAGTAAAGACTCTCAGGAGGCCTTAATAGTGGTAATCGGGGGTAAGTAGAGTCTCAATTATCCGCGGTTTTTCCGAACTTGCTTCGGTCTCAATCCTCAATGAACGACTCAAAAGTCCCTTCCTTTCGAGAATTGTAGGCCATCTAGGACGCCTTAAAATATCGGGAGGAGCAGGCAAAAAGTTCCCTGGCAGAGCTACTGATTCTAAAAAGCATGGAATATATATCGCAGCCCAAACACGTTACAATTCTATGCCACTAACTTTAATAAATGATTTCTTCTTGAAATGATGTTTGTCAAAATAGTAGAATTTATTTATTTTTAACGAATTCTTGCATGTCTGTTTAAAATTTTACGAGTGTTTTTAATGAGGCTTTTCAAATACACCTTTTTGATCATTTTTCCTGCCTAAAAGGCTTAGTTTCAGAATATTCACAGTACCTCCACTCCCAATCACTGCAATCGAAACTCTAGTGTAACAATAATAATTTATAATGGATGGAGGGCAGCGAGTTATCTACTCTCAGTGGTATTGAGCAATGACACCCTATAGTCACAACTACACCAAGTTTGGCAGAAATACAATAAGTCACATTGCGATAAAAACTGAAGAGGGGTTAGTTTTCAAGTCGAATAGTCATATATTTTTTCTATAAGATATCAAAGGTCAAGGAACTTGAAAAGAGTCATTTATACTAGTGCTTGACATCGAGACTTGTGGAAAAATAAAACTTCAATCCTCTCTTACGTTAAAACTTGATACATTTTTATTGAACTTAGTCTAACTCATCTAGGAGAGGGGGATTAGCAAGCATTGTGGGGAGCAAAGTGGGTCCGACCCCCCGTGACTGACACATCCGTAAGAAATCATTGAAGCATTTTTGGAGTAGGAATTTCTGAAGCCTACTGATACATATCAATGATATTTGGTGAAATTACAGTTTAGAGCTGAGGGGAAAAGAAGAGGTAAATGTTACATCAGAAAACAGCATCATTTAACATAAATTTAAGTGGTAACTGAATGGGCCAACTGATGATTGACGCATTCAGGGTGATGTGACTTCTTTTCTTTCTCCAGTTCTAGAACATCTAAGGGAATACTGAAGAAACCAAAGAGACCTCAAATAACTGACAAATAATACAGAAATTTGGACTGGAAAGGCAGCATTGGCCAGTTAGATGTATGAGATTTAGAGAGATCTAAGATACTTCATAGATCATTTGCTGACATTTAACTTGCAAAGAGGTTCTTCCTACCTCCTACTGAACGCCACTGACAGCAACATGTTGGCTGCTTGCGGGAGGCTTGGCAAGCAGGAAATCTGACCATGAATAAAAGTTTAGCATACCCACACCCCCGAGCTAGCTGCTTCCAACCCTTCCTATTGCTTAAGTCATCCTTGATCAAAAAATATCGACACATTCAGGATCATAAATAGAAAGAAAATACTGCTACAACGAATAACTCTTGGTTTTTAAACAGTGGAGGATTCACTAGTGGATCCCTAGCAGATCGTGAGTCTTTATATTAAAAAACAGGGCCACATGTTAGGTGTTCAAATCAAGCGAATTGATGCAACAATCTTCCTTCGTAATCTGCAAGCTGGTGACATTCTTTTCTTCATAATGCTTTGCATTAGACATATAATAGCTCAATTATGTACCTAAAATCTGTGTTGTATGAGCACACCTATGTTAAAGCTTAGTTTATCAAATCGAGAAGTTCGGGGAAGTAGAAAAATCTTGGTTCTCATTTAGAAGCACTTAGATGACACCAACTTTATTGATTCATAGAGTTTGTTTACATGTAAGTATTTAGTTTATTCATAATGAATTGGGAAAAATGAAGTTGCATAATCATTGCAACTTCTGTAAAGGATGAATTCGGTTCCCGAGGCTGAGTATACCCACAACAAGTTGACGATAGAAATGGGTTGTACTTATCAGCGGCAGCTAGAGGGTATTATCGGGCAGATGAAACTCAGTCGTCATGACTCTGTGCGAGACCTAATTGAAATGCAAATAAAATGAGACATAATAAACTTACGTGGGCAGGAAAAGAAATTCCAAAGAGATCAGTCCAAACTGATGACAACCTGACTGATTCACGACTGTACCGTGTTGAGTAACTTCACGCGAGCTCATTCAGAAGCTAGGCGTTACGACTGAAACGCTTCTGAACTTCGAGCCGAGAAACTTTGACCGAACTAACAACGAAAGATCATGAGAACACGTAAAAAAGTGGAACAAGGAACATAGCTGCAACGACCGTGAATTCTTCAAGATGTCATGGAATTGTCTCTAAAATCAAAACCGTTTCGTTCGAAGTCAAGATCTAAATGAGTCAGTGTAAACGAAAAAAAAAATCTGGAAACAGTCACTGATAAATTACACGAGAACTTTATGAACTGTACATGAATTACTTCAGCTTTCGAAAGGGAGAAACCTCAAGGTCTTCACGCACCGTGATACAACATTTCTTATCAACGCGCATGCGCCAGAAAAATGTAAATAATAACATAACCTAACTTTGTTCATTCTGTTAACGTAAACAATCACGCAATAACGCAATCCAATGGCTCAATTTTTAGAACAGACTTTTTTTCGCAATCCTTGTGTTCAGTTTTGTAAGTTTTCCTAGTTCCCTGTATTCTTCCTGTTTTTCTCTTTTCTATTGATGCAATGGCTAGTGCTTTAAAATCATACATTGTTATTCGGGACTATCAACCTGGAGATGAACTGCAATGTCAGGAGGTTGTTAAAGAAGGAACAATGTCAACTGTGAATGCTGCATTTTTTGCTGGCCTAACACGTGAGATAACTTTCGAACTCATGGTCTTAATGTCTGCACTAATGTTTATTTTTTTTGGTTTTCCGTTTAGTGTTTGCTTTGCATCTATTCCTGTTGTTATCGCTCTTATGTACTGCTGTATTTACGCTGGACATTCATTCAAAGCGATGGAAATGTTGGGTGATCTGTCCAATATTCCTCGCGTCTACATGTCTAATGATCACACAGGGTTTTGGGTTGCAGAAGTTTTAGAACCCTGTTATAATTTTACGTCGCCAAAGAACATTGATTACTCCATTATCTCACAGAAGCATTTTCGATGTTTAAGCCTTGACTTGAAACAGTATCGGAAAAAAATAATTGGAACAGTCGGAATTGTGAAAAGCCGTAATTTTGAAAATTTTGCATGGCTCCGTCGCATGGCTGTGTCCTCTGGATACCAACGTAAAAAAGTTGCCTCCAGTCTACTGGATGAGGCCCTTCGATTTTGTGCCAGCAAACACTATGTTGCCGTAGAGTTAATAACAACTGAATGTCATGATAGCGCTCGATCTCTTTATTTGAAAAAGGGATTTGAGCTCAGGCAAATTTATCACAAAAAATATGTATGTAATATTGTTTCAATTTTAATTTTCAACCTATACTTTAATTTGAAAAATTTCAAGCTAGTGGAACCATAATTTTTTCTTTATATCATAGATGGTTTCACTCTTGTTTAATTTTTGTATCATACTCATAATGGAAAATTATTCTTATGTATGAAAAAGCCTCTTTGCGATTTCATTTTTTACTTTTGGACTTCTAGGTGTAAACAATGTGTTAAAATAGGAGTTAAGTAAGTACCAAAGTATAAACATCTTTAAAAAAATCAAAATCTAATTTATACTATGCTCAGCTCTTATGAGCCACAGAACCAAAAATTTTAGTGAGGCATTCCATCCTCAAACTTGTTATAAAAGAAATAAATTTCAATTCCCTTTTTTTACACAATTTTCCGTGGAGGGAAGGTAGGCTCCCATGCCACCTCCTAGTGCTGCCCTTGACTGTAAATTGGTGCATTAACAGGAAGGCATTTCAGAGTTCCCAATTTATTTGAATGTCATTCAGTATTTTATAAGTATTCATATTTTGTTCAATATAAAGACACTTCTATTCTCTGTGATACTGTATCGACTGATTCTAATGCTCAAACTGTTGCTCTGCACTAAAAATTTTTTATAAATATTTCATCTGCAAAATTAATCAAATTCTGTTAGTCAGAGATTTCCATTAAATAATTAAGATCCAATTATTGAGATAGTTTACTTCCAATGAAAGTAAACAAGCTCATCTGCGTAGGTATCCTACAATTTTCTGAAATTACATACCCACTCGCAAAACCATGAGAATATTTCATTTTTTTAATTAGGGAAACTTCTGTCTAAAAAAAATTGTGAAATCAGACTGATTTCACCAATCTTTTCCCTGTGGTTCCTGGTCCTATCAATTCCTTGTTCCCCACCTTCACTTGGGCTCTTTGTTGGTTTGTTTATTTTTTATTAATTTTTCTTAAGTTTTTAGTTTTAAGAGATGGCAAAAAATGTGAAAAAGTTGCAGTCCTGAAGCTGGTAGCTCTCTGGAAATCGAGCAGACTCTAACGCCAAGATGATAATTGTAAGGAATGATCAACTATCAAAATTAAAAATTAAGGTCAAAATTTTAAAAATTTTTAATGACTGGTGTTAAGTTTAACCCAGACTGAGATTACATAAACCCCTACCTTCTTACTCTAACACATACTGTAAGTTATTGCTCAGGAAATCAGGCTGCCTGCATTTTCAACATTTTTTAACATTTGTATTCATTGATTTTACCTCCGATCATTATTAACGATGGCCATATGCATAATCAAAACGTATCACTTATTGTTATTTTTGCTTAAACAACTTCAGCAATTTTCTCTGTTATATGTCACATATCAACGGTGTAAGTCGGCAATCACATAACTCGGTTTGCGACGTCGTAGACTTTCTGTCATATTTTATTTTTTAAACAGAAAACCACTCAACAGCAATTCTTTAAAACTGCCAAGATTTTTCTTCTCTGTGCAGCAAAAATCCTTCATTAACGTCAAGGAATGATGCCAATTAGTTCTCCTTTAAAAAAATAACATAGAGGCGGAGATCTTCAGACACCGCAAACGAGTTAAGTGATTGCCGACTTACACCGTCGATATGTTGCTTTGTCATTTTTAAAATCATTCTGACACTATTTCATTTGCCAAGTAGCCAATCATTTCCTGATCCTATACCCAGGATTTTCACAATTTTTATTTGTCCAATACTCTCTCTCGAAAGATATTGCCAACATTTCTTTGTGATCTGGGTACATTCATACTTATAAGACTGAAGTCCTGTGAAAAAGTTGCGCCTTATTTGAATTTTGTATCTTTTTTTATTATTTGTTTCTTACTAAAGTATTGAATAATGTTTGCATCCTTAGAATAACTGAGCTTTTATTTTGTTATATATTCTTTAATGTAAATTTGACTTCTTGAGTTCACATAATGGTGAAACCCTGGAATAATTTACATTATGTCCATCATCCAAAAAGACAATCTCATGAATGAATGCTGATTTTTAGCTCAAGTTAGAACAGCATTACTGAAGTTTGTGATTCCAAAAAATTATTCGGTCAAGAGTTCCCTATTATAGTAATTTTTAATGAACAACCACTTTTAAAGTGTGATTTTTATTTATATTGAGATTACAGAGGTTTACTTTCACTACTAGCAACGTCGCTATTCGACCTATGCCCTCTGACTATGGTGCCTTCATGAAAGCAATGAGCAATAAAACATCCACTATTGTTTCCTTTGTTCACATCAAGCAATATATCTCCGATCAGCAGTGTGGGGAAAGTGTATAAAATGAACAGTAGTGTGGTAGTCAAACATTTTCTGCCAGTACTTTATTGTTCCTCCCTCAAAAGAGAAAGACTCATCATTCTCACATTAAGTTTTCTGAATATTTTTTGGAATGACAAAAGAAAAGGACATGAAAGTTCACAAGACACAGGTGTTCAGTTTCGCGTTGTGAGGATCAAATGTGACAAGTAGTTTACCATATTTCAAATCGAATTATAGGCTCTCCAAGGTCACTATTGAACTACATAAATATAATTCAGCAGGGTCAACTTTGTTTTTTCTCTCTTTAATAGATTACTATGCATGAGTTTGTGATTCATTTTTTTAAGTTTGTTGTATTTTCCGCCTATATTTTTATGATGTTTTATAATGGGACTTCATTTTTGCACTGAGAAGCCACAAGCTTTGCAATACTGCCAAGATTGCACAATTTCTTCCAAGGAACTTCCAAAGAAAATTCCGGAGCTTTGATTTCTTTCTTCACATCAAAACAAGGTTAATTAAAAGAGAAAATTACCTACTCATTAATTTCATTCATTGATGTGTTTTTATTAAATTGGTTGCAAATGCAGAAACTGTACAGTCATAGCAAAATTGCAATGCTATTGGTTTTTTGCAAAATTTAGCCCAATTAACTATGCCGTTTTTTATATTCTTAAATCATTGTTGTATTCATAGTTAAATCCAATCCTATTGTGATTGATTACTTTTGATCTATTATAAATAAAAATTTTTATCCCAAAATGTTCTTTTTATTTTCAAGTTTGTCTGTCCAGAATTTTTGAGTTGGTGCACCAATTTAAATCAATTTGAAAGAAGAATGAATGGAATGGAAAAACACAATTTTACAAAAAGAATCTTTAATTGTTTTGATTTACAATATCAATGTAAAAAAAAATGAAATATGATAGAAAGAAAAAACTATTTTTAGAGTCCATAAAAAGACTTCAAATTGAATTTACAATTCAATAATACAGATTATTAAAGACACAAATATTCAGAAGCTCAATTTATGGAAAAGGTTAACAATAACACGCAAAATAATACTAACTCTCATTTTCGCTTAATTTCTTCTTCAAGTAGGAGAAAAAGCAACCTAGAAGTCCTGCCAAGACTTCAGTCATCAGAAAAATTGCTTTGACATGGATGTGAAATAAAAATGTTTATAAAATTCAAAGAACCAACAAAAATAATTGGTGAGGTAATAGTTGGTTGAAAGCAGTTTCCAAATACCTGACAATGTCACAATTTCATCCAATAATTTTAAAACCAGCTTTTTCAATGTGTAGGGGGTTAAGATTAAGGCACAAAATTAAATTTTTCACCATAAAATTTTAATGGTACCATAAAATAATAATAGGTTGAAAGAGAAATTGATTTTACACTTATCTAAGAGCAGTGAATCAAGTGTAACAGAGGCGCACAAAGTAGCATGCTAGAAAAAAATAAGTTGGGAGTTGTCCAGAATTCAACTAATCGTGTTTTTTCCTGTCAAAAAGTGAAAGTTTGGAACTTACGAATAGCTGTTGCGCTTAATCTTAAAAATGGAATTTTATGGTTGTGTAAAACTTCAAACCTCTGTTTAAGAGTTCAAAGTTGTTGCGCCACAGTGCGCTTCTGTTAAACTCTGTTCAAATGGTATCAAGAATAAGATATCATTAAATGATATTTAAGTATCCACAAAAAAAAGTTTTATGCTTAGGTGTTCTGTAATTCACACTTTCGATCATTGCAGTGTTTTTGAAAGAAAATAGCGAAACTTTAAAAGTAGATCTCATTTGCCAGTGGACTGATTATGGAAATTGATAAGCATAGAAGACAGAGAGGAAATAGAGCAATCACATTGGTTGAAACGGGTGACTGTTAAGGACTAAGGAGGAAAATTATGGTCTAACTGTAGGGTTGTAGTCACTTTATTTACTACTTGCCTAATTTGCCCATTACAACCACACACTTCCTCCGATAGGATCGCTACATTTTTCCCGATCTATTGCTTTGTTTATCAAATTCAATGCTCAGCCTACAGGCCCATTACTAAACTTACTCCTCATTAATAGCCAATTTTTTTTCAAGGTATTGAGAGGATGGGAAGTGAGTTGCGGTCACCACGCTCAAGTAACTCTTTTCTCAAAGTAAAATAACACAAAGGACTCAAGAATTATGAGATCAAACGAACCTAAAAAAGGCACTTTTCCCTTTCCAAATAAAAAACCCTGAGTTCCTTAGGACAGCATAGTTTTTCCTCTATTAGTTCAAATAAATAAAAATGAAAAATACTTGAGCTCATTTTATGCACCTTATTTTCACCGACCACTCAAACTTGCAAGGATCTTCAAAACTAGGAACAGCATCTCATTAGAGGCAAATAAATCTGCCATAATTGAATATGGTCAGATGCAAAATAATGTACAATGTCCATCGCTTTTACCATACTGATCCAAGCATTTACACATGATTTAACAGGTTTTGAAGAAGTTTTAACTAAACAAACAGATCTTTGCAAATTTAATTCAATGTGAAATCAATAAACAAATCATTAAGAATAATGACGGTAAAAACAGCAAATTTGCTTAAATATTTACCGGGATGGAAAAAGACATTCACTTTTACCAGAGCCATGGAGTGGATGAAAATACAGATGAGAATGAAAATTTTAAATTCATACATACAAATAAAAGCAGCGCAAATATTGCTGAAGCAAACATTTAAAACTTAACAAGACAGATTAGATTTATGTAGTATGCAGTAATATCCAAAATAGATATAATTCTTAAAAGAATTCATTTCTAAAAACAGAGTGATGAATTCTGGAGGGAATTCTTAATGTAAACATGTAAAATGATTTTCATGTTGAACCCACCCAGCAAAAATGTTGTCACAACTTCACTGCCAAAAATAACATTACAGCAACATTATTTTCTTTCCTTGCTGGTTGGGAAGACTTGAGCATGGCAAACTAATCATTTTCACTTTGAATAGCACCATGAAAATTAAAATAAGAAACAAAAAAAAAAGAATTTGATTCTTCTAGGAATACCTATACTACCAAAAACCAAGAAAAAAAAAAAACAGAATAATGATTTCATGATTGTAAGATTAGACAAGAGAAAAGAATGGCCTGTATTCAGAAAGTAATCATACCTTAAAAATGAGAGAGAAATTGTGGAGGGCGGGACACAGCAATACTACAATAAAAGACTACTCACCGCTTTTTGGAATTTTTAAAGCTTGGCTTCAGATTCAAATTTTGTGGCAGATTACATGGAATTTTTCAGAGACAGAAAAAAAGTTTAAGTGTGCTTATTTTAGAGTAAGACATAAAAAAATCTACTCTTGATCAAAAAGAGATAGCAGACATATAAATATAAATCTTCATTCATTTTACGATCAAATTTTAGTTCAGCTTTATTTGCCCGTATAAATATACAAGGATTTTCTGACATTCTTTTTTTCTTTTTTGGGGGGGGGGGGGAGAGAGAGAGAGCTTGAAGCATCATCAGCGTCGGTTGTCAAAACAGAAATTTTAGCTAACGCTCAAACTTTTAAAAATAAAATATTTTGAGAACATCTCCTTTTGAAACGGTAAAAAAGTCTAAATGCCTTGTAAATACACAAGCACATTCAGTTGAATGGGCCTGTTGCAAACTTTTGCTAGAGCAAAACTAAGAGTTGTTTCTTATAGATAATGCCTCAAAAATCACGATGAGCGCATCGGCAAACTCTGAAATGCACTCATAACTTCACAAACTGCGTAAGAAATTTGCGGTTTTTTGAGCTTCCCGCTTCAAAAACGATACTACGGCACAGGTGAACATTTTGTAAGAGGAGTCGTTCCATTGTCGGCAATCATCATCATAGCCGACGCCAATCCGCCAAAACACGTTTGATGGGACGAGATAACACCTGAACTGGATTAGACCAGATAACAATCGGTGTGTTAACGTTCATATTTTCCACGCCCGAATTGATTGACCTTGAACTCTCCTTGAATTACGCGCGGAACTGCGTGCAAGCGTCGGCCATGATGAATATCGCCGACGATGGAGCGACTCCTCTAACAAAATGTTCACCTATGCCGTAGTATCGTTTTTGAAGCGGGAAGCTTAAAAAAACGCAAATTTCTTACGCAGATTGTGAAGTTATGAGTGCATTTCAGACTTTGCCGATGCGCTCATCGTGATTTTTGAGGCATTATCTATAAGAAACAACTCTTATTTTTGCTCTAGCAAAAGTTTGCAACAGGCCCATTCTACCACAAAATTTTTACTTAAGGTTACACAGTAGTTAGAAAATAATAATGAAAAAGTACAATAAGAAGAATTACAAAATTGATTTAAGTGACATAAGAATTAGAGTAAGTACTTAAATCATCAATTAAGTCATGGTGTGATGAAAGCCACTTAAAATATAGTTTAAGCACAGCAAAATATAAATTAAAGATAGCAGTCACTGACAAAATTGCTTCCTTTTTGCATCGAAGCATCTCTTCATCACTTTGAGTTCTTGATATTGCCTACACCTTGTTAAAACCAGCATACTGAATACATTCCACAAATATGATAATAAAAACCTTAAATATTCTCCGAACATTGTCAGGAATTAAAATGACCACTCCAAGAGCGCGCAAAATATTTCCAGAGCACAGACTACGCATCAATCTGAGAATACTGGTAGTTGAGAAAGTCTTAGAACTATGTTATAGCTATTATCAATGAAGTGGATCTCTGGACAAGGCACAAATTAAAGCACTACGCAGTAAGTCTTCATTGTCTTCTCTTCAAAATTTTGCAAGAAAAACAAGTCACACAGCTGGAAGTCTAGAACTCAACTCCTAAACAAGATAAAAGTGTTTAAAATGAACATTGACTGGAATGACGAAAACACAGATCACATCATTTGTATGATCTTCCTTTCTTTTGATTTGTGTTAAAAATACTTGTTGATAGCTCGTCCAGGAGTTGGCTCCTGAACTTCCTGTTGTAAGAATCGTTTTCTATGTAAGGTTTTGAAGAGAAAGGATGTGACGTCATTTTTCTAGTTGAACCTTCTCTAATGGCCCACTATGTTCTAAAAAATTGATGGAATTCCAAAGATAGATTCACCAATTTTATTATTTTTTCTAAAAATATTCAGCATGCTTTTGGAAATAACACTATTCTGAGTATTAAAAATGCAATCAAAGAGGGAGGAGGCTCAGATGCTCAAACGATTTTGATTAATAACAATTCTTTTTAAAAATTTAGGAACAAAAATAACAACACAAGACCAATGAGACAAGACAAATACGCACAAAATACAACAGTTAGCCTTCGATAAAATGATTACATTCATTAAGCCATGAAGAATATTTTACTTTTAAGACCTCAAAAATTAAATGAGATAAACAGTCAACTCCCGCTAAGTGAGAAAGATCTGCCGGTCCCGTTTCTTCGCCCATTAGAAAATGATTCGTTTAAGTGAGAAACCTCGCCAAGTGAGAATGGAGCCCCGGCTCCGATGCATTCTCACTTAGCAGGAGTTGACAGCATTGACATAATTTCCCAAAATTCGAAAATGAATTCTTTCTGGGGAACAAGAAAATTTTACTAGAGAGTCTTAATGTTTGGCAAGCCTGATTCCAACACAAAATCTGTTGAATACCCAAAGTTTGAAGACTTTAGCACCAACATATTTTTAGTCAAGTTTAAAGAAGCGGAAAATCTATGGTACCAATTTGTTGGAGCTCTTTTTATTGAAATTCTCAGTTTTCTTTTCCCCCTTTTTTTCAAAACTAATTATTAAAAATAATCTAACTGAGGGAATGACATCAGCTAAGAAATCAGGTGGCTCATAGATTGTAAAACAATTTTGTTCTGCACAAAGAGGTACATTCTAAATTGTAAGATATACAGTGAGGGTTTTTTTTTTCTTGAACTGCCTTCATTAAATAACTAGAGGGGAAAAAAGGCTTTCATGGTTGACCAGACACTTAAAATGAGTAGCCAAAACTGATTACGACTGCTGCAAAGATTACATATACTCCTAAAAGAGCACAAGCACATTTTTCATGGAAAAAAAAATATATATTTTAAAGGGAAAGGAAATTATTAAAAATATCTGACTACTCAGAAGATCAACTAAAGAGTGGCAAAGTCCCTCTGTAAAAAATTACAACTTAGCGCGTTTTTGTTTTGATTGTCTCATCATAAATGGTAACAAAATAATTTCCATCTTTTTGAAAGTAAATAAAAAGTTCATCAGCAGATGAAAGTAAGAAAGAAAGCTTAGAAAACAAAAATCAAATAAATTGTACAAAATTTCTCCTTTAGAAGCAGAAAAAAATAAAATCGCACACCCCTAAGTTCTTCTCTTTCTAACTTCTTCGATAATATGACCAATTCTGAACCATTTATGATAATTTTCAATCCTGGATAAGTACAAGTTTCACAAGGAGTAGTTTTGTACCAAATAAATATTCAGTTACATTTAGAATAATTGTACAGGCAGTGCTTCCATTCAAAAAGCAACATGAGGGCTAAAACGTTTTGATTGGCAATATTTAAAAGAATAGAACAATGCAAAAGGTCTTAAATGTATAGCTGACTTTTTGCTTGCTTTAGAAAAGAATTCCATTTTAAAAGTGGACATTATTTTTGCAAAGATACAGGGAATACGAAAAAAAGCACAGTAGAATGGATACAACTTTGTTGAAATAGACAGCATTACACAAAATAATGATACCTGCATTTTGAAATACGTTCTTCAAGCACATCTGAGAATTGACACGAAAATGAGAACAGCTTCCCTTATAATAAAACTGTTCTAAGTAGATTGAATCCTGAGCAAAATTAGTGGGTTCAGTTATGTTTAATAACTATCAAAAAAATAGTAAAACGTTGGTTCTACATAAATAGCAAACATTTCTCTGTTCATTCCAAATTAACGATTGCAAAATATAGCAAGTTTTCAGTTAATCCACATGGATTACGAGGGTACCAAACAGTCGCTCACTTCAACAGTTACTTTCATTAGTAAACTAATACATTGCAATTCAATAGAAAGGAAATGGCACATAGTTGATCATTCCTTGGCCAATTCTCAAAACGTACGGATCAAGTACAAAAATCAAAAAGAGTTAAAACACAAAAGTCTTGTCATTTTTCACCACACTTCAGTTGTAAATAATGACCTTGATTACTGTAAGGTTGCAAGTTTAGCTGTTTTGACACGCCATTTCAAGACAAAGTATAGACCAATTTTAGCGAAGATTAGCAGCGCAGTAAGCACGCCAAGATCCAACCAATAACTACCCTTATCCATACCAATCTCTTCCAAAAATTTCTTCGGAGTTCGGTAATAACAGAACATTTCGCTACAATCGAGGGACTTTCGCCCATAGCCATATAATGAGAGCGTCACAGCCTCCAGCCCATAACGGAATATACTGAGGTAGGAGAGCCATTGCAAGTATGGAGCCAAGTCAGCCAAGTGGATGAAGAAACCAGATATCAGGAACATTGGCATAGTAATGGTGCAAGTTATAAACAGGGCCAGCTGTAAAAGAATAAATATAAATTCATTAAATTAATATTTCATAAGAAATCAAAAACATGAACAATTCAAAACATATACTACCTTTGATTAAATCGGATTAGTAGGAAACATATGAGGCCTTTTTTAATTTCGGCGTTTCTTCTCTTCTGAAAGCTCTGAAGTGGGTCAAATCAGGATATTCGAACTAAGCAACTGAGGTTAATTCCAAGAGAGTTTAAAAACGTTAAGTAGTTTAGCGCTATGTTTAATTTAAAAATGAAACGTTTTGAGAAAATTGAGCAACTAAAAAGGCAGTAAGGTTGATTCTGGGTTTTTCAATTTTCTGGTGGTAATCATTATGCAATACTGCATCTACCTCGTGACACAATGAAGCATTTATGCTGAGCATGTCAATGGATTGCAAATGGAAGACGTGAGGGTTCACGACAATTTTCTTCAAACCAAAATCAAGAACTTTCGGGGGAGTTTCAAAGAGTTTTATTTAGAAAAATCAAGGATTTTTAATGGTCTTTCAAGGATTTAAAAAAAAATATATTCAAATGCTCTCAAGAATGAGCAAAAATTCTTTCAAGAATGAGCAAAAATACTTTCAAGATTGGGCAAAAATACTCTCAAAAATGAGCACACATACTCCTTAGAAAGTGCGTAAATAATGGACGTTTCCTCTTCCTGTACCTTTCTCCTCTGTCATTTATATGCGAAGAAGCAAATGTACAAGATACAAAAAATGCAATTTTGCACTCTGAGAGTTTCCATGGCGAAAGAAAAAAGGGTCAATCTTCAGATCTGACATAAACGAAAGAACTAGAGGATGTAAAATTCAAGTTTTCAGGTACATTCAGGCAAATTCTGAAACTCTAGGTTCTTCTAGAACATGGAAATTTGAAGAAAAATATTCACACATATTCAAGGTATCTTTAAGACATCATGCTTCTTGCATTCATACAGCCTGGGTTTGATTCATTATGAGGGGAAAGGAGAAGGAAGGAAAAAAAGTAAAAGATGGAAACAATGCTAAGAAATGTCTTTACAAACCTGAGGATCAAAGATGGTCCCTGCCACAGCACCGATGTTTTCAGCGAGGCAGTTTAAAACAATATTCACAGCCCAAAACATGAGAAATCGATCAAGTTCTTGCGGCTGACCTGTTAGCCAGTATGCAATGGTGAGGAAAATGGTGGGACAAAATATCTGTGAAAATCAGCACATTAGTAAGATTAAATTTTGAATGACACAAATAAAAATTGTTTTGGCGAGGTTAATTTCATTCAGGAAGGATTGGTATCTTACAAACTACAGGGCCTATGCTAAAAATAACAATAGTTTCAGTGCTGCTGGCATATAGTGCAAGCACAATACACATTCAATGTGCATATATTGGACCTTTAACGCATCAGTAGCAAAAATCAAAAATAAATGCAGGTGGCAAATTTACAAATCAAGAGCCTTCATTTGAGAAATTTGAATGAATACAGTGGTTAATTTCAAAAAACAACTGTGAGACAAAATATTCGACCATATTTGAGGGGCTTGGAGGACGAGGCGCATAAGTGCAATTTTTGAAGAAATCGAGGCGTTAATGATTTCAAGTAAAACTAGTCTGAATGCATATTCCGCGAAAATTTAGCTCCCAAAATTCCGATTTTTTAGGCATCAAAAAGTCAGTTTGAACTTCCTTTCCGCCGTAAGGTTCCGTGTAATTTTGAAACTTTAAACTTGTTTTTTCGAAATAGAAAAAACTAAGCTTATGCGCCTTGCCTTGTCTTCTCAGCCCCTCATTTTTGTATTCCTTTTTTTTCACAACTGAAATAGATAAAATAAAGGCCACCAATAATATTCAGATTACCAGACAAAATGATTATTGAGATAAGATAAACTCTATAACTTAGGTTTATTCCTAGGGTTGTCCTGAGTCACACATCGAAACAAAGAGATTTGAAATTTCTAAAGTCATAAGAAGGCTAATACTGCAAAATTACAAAACTCACCTGAAGAGGTAGATCAGCAAGGCATTTAGCAATGTAGTAGACAGGAACTGAATACCAGTTGTTGAAATGCTCTCGAATGAAAACAGATGCCTCCAGAGGATCTGAAAATCAAAGAACCAAAATATAATAATAAATTGTGAGTAAAAAAGTAATTAGGATTTTCTTGTAAAACTACCCTAGGAGAATACATTCCACCGACTACAGTATGATGGGAGAGAGCAAATTTAAGATGCGACAGTTGACACCAGACTATGATTCATGGCCTAAAAGGACTACAAAAGCTGTGACAACTCGACTGGTTAGTAATAACACTCTCCAGAATTTATGTTTAAACCAATAAAGCATCCTTTTTTTATTATTGGATGGACGGGTTTAACCTAAATCAACCTAACTGCGTTTCATGTTGCCTAATTTTCTCTTGTGTTTCATTTTTCTAACAGCAAACTAAACTACTCAATACCTTTAATTTTCTGCAAATTTACTCCCGATTACGAAGAATAATTGCAAATTCAATTTTCAGAGTTGCTTGGTTTCCTATTATAAAAATAGAGTATCAGAGATGATTCGGCAACGTCTGAAGTAGTTGCACTGATTCTGCAGTCAGTGACTATGTTGACTATTTATTCATATCATCTTTTGCCAAAGTAGGGACAATTTTATTTAACTTCAGTAATGAGATACATGGGGCTTCAGCAAACATGACAACATTCAAACGAGACAAACTGATGGTTATGAGTGGTGCTACTTAGGAACAAAGGAAAAACTTACAGATGAGAACCGTGTGCATGGCAGTTCCATAAAATGTGAAGATCACAGAGAAAAATACGCATGAGAAATTTGCTGAGAGTTTGCTGGCATCATTTCCAAAATCTTTGAAGGCAATTCCCAAAAAGAAACCAACTACTATGTGGACTATGATTCGGAATGCAGCCAATTTCTACGAACAGATAACGTGGAGCGTAAATTTTTAAGAACACAAATGAGAAACAAAAAAAAAAGGACATGAGACCATCAAAGGATACAAATAGAAAACTAAAGATTTTTCTCTCTTCGTCTCCCTTTCATATTCTGTCAAGACCAATTCACACAGGTCAGTTATTCCTGTGGACAAGTCCTGGGACCCAACTCCTCAGTGACTTGCGATGCATGTTGTGTGGGATCATTTCAAAATGAGCCAATTTCTAAACAAACGGTATTACTCGTCAAAGAATCTTCACCCAAAAACTCCTAAAATTTCAGGATATCTTCATTTTGGTGATCACAGGATGACTTGAGATTTGACCAAATATTGATTTCCTCGATAATCGTACTTATTTAGGTTTGTTACAAATTTGCCTTATACACAGAATTCTACAACAGGTATAATTGGGCCTCCTAAAACATACATTTCAATAAAGACACTGATCTATGAGGATCATACTCATAGGATCTATAACATTAACATCATTATCAACAAAATTCAAAATTTAACCAAATCTTAAATCGACCCGTTATAACCCAAAATAAAAGGTTTTTTTCTTTCTTTCTTTCTTTCTTTCAATTTTTTATATTAGTCATTACCCTATGCTCAATTTCCTTCCAAGCCATGAGCAAACCGCCAATAGATGGCGTCCAAGTCTATGTATTTAGACAAAAACTGAGAAATTAGAGGGGATGAGCGATAGAATACGAAGTCTGGCCACTTACAGGGTCTCTGAGTGTAGATGCAAGAGATCTCCGGAATAGAATTGAGAGTTGATTACAAAAGGATACAGGATATCGTCTAATTTTTCCATGTGATACGACCTCAACACTTTCTTCCCCACTTGATTTGACTCCATTTGTTTTCAATTCAATTTGGACATCTTCTTCTGTCAATCTCTTCTCTGTACAAAAACCACACAGAAATTATTTAATTTCAGTTCCTAAGGCATCGATTTAATCTTTCATTTAGAAGACATGATCCAAAAACTTCAAGACAAATGGGGACACTAAAGTTTTATTGCAAACGCCTCGACTTAAAAATTTTCGGTTGTTTCAAAATTGACAGTATAACTCTTTATTGGTTCTGTTTATCTCTTTTAATTAAAACGGTATAAAATAGGGAAACTTAAGTTCTGGATGACCCTCCCATTTAAGAAACTTGGTGATGGAAAATAATTTACATGTCTTTTAAACTACGAATGTTGACTGATTCGTTCAATGAGGAGTTATATCCTCTCTCTGTCTAGCTGTAAAATCTAAGCTGGAATTTGAGTATTGTGTTCATCTTACGCGTCAAAATCCTCTCAAATATTTATGATAATCATTAGTTAATAGCAGCACTTCCGGTTGAGAAAAATCCTGACAGTTGAAAAATCCAAAAATTCAATCGATCATACTTTCATCAACTGTTTTCACACAATTTTTTGTCTAAATCTATTAAAATGATAATGAGAGTACAAAAATTCATTTAAAAAATAAGAGCTGATGTATGAAATTTCACGTACCTTCTTCTTTAGCTGTCCCGTTTGCCTCTTTTTTCTCATTTTTGTAATAGACAGCCTGTTTGTTGCCAATAGGTGACAATTTATCAAGAGAACTTTCATCTATTTCTTGTTCGAAACGGGCTTTGTTTAGAGCAACAAGGGCATCAACAAAATCACCTCTTTCTCTGCATGCAACTTCGAGGGCTGGAAAAAAAATTGTTGGCGGTCAATTGAGAAGCTCATGAAGAAGGAAACATTTTTTTACAAAAACATTTCTACATTCTACATTTTCACTTATGAAAATTTAGGCAGTGATTCTCTCACTCCTATTACGCCATGCAGTAAGTTAGAGTTTACAAAAAATATTTTCTGAGAAAAAATTGAGTATAAGTTTTTCACTGAGTCTCGTGGAGAGAGAGGTGAGACTTCAAGACTATTTTCTTCAGTTCCGAGTCAGTGTAATTTGTGACTGGATTTGTGAAAAGGAACCTTATCTTCCAGGAGAAACTTTTCTGTAACTTTCTTCATAAACATAAACCACGCTCTTCTATAGTCTAAAAAATTATGTAGGGTTAAACTTGAGCCAGAATTTCCAGATTTTCTTCCTCCTTGAATTTGAAAAAAGTTAAGGAAAATTGTCCCCCAAGAGATAAGGTCTCTTTCCATAGATCTGGTCACATTTGTTTTGTTTTGTTTGTTTAAGCTTCCTCTTGAAAATTCTTGTGATTTTTTTTCTAATGGAGAAATACTCTGTGAAAATTTAAGGCAGTTTCAGTAGATTCCTTAGTTTTCCATTTAAGAACAAATGAGTAAAAGTGGAGAATTTAAAACATTAAAGCCAAGATGATACGTTTCCTAGTTTCACTGTCAGTGAATAAAAAAAGCCATGAAGTTTTTTGCTGTTCATTTCCCACAAGCACTTTTTTGAGGTACATCAAAGAAACTACTGCAGTTTCATATAATTGTCAATAGTTACCTAAAAGTTGATTATATTGATTGTTAATAACTTGTCTTGATTGTTTTTCGGCACTTTCAGTTAAAAAAAAACTCACTTTGAGAGACACTTCAGAAAAATTAGTTTACAGCTTTTTATTTTTCTTCTTCATTTACCAAGAAGAAACATAGAGTTATGAAATGTGAGTGACTGCAATTAAGAAGAGAGGGCCATAAACATGATGAGAATTACCGAAATCAGCACGGTTGTAATACTGGGGACATTCTGCACCAACTTCTTTAAATGTTTCGACAAGGCTGTTTAGAGGACCATTGTAAAGAACCTTCCCTTCCGTTACAATCATGACGTCATCGATGCATTCCAGAAGTTTGGAGTTCGGTTGATGCAACACCACCACCACTGTTCGTCCTTTCTCTGCGAGAGATTTCAAATGCTGGATCAACTGATATGAAGCCACACTGTCCAAACCACTAAAAAAATAAAGAGCAAAAAAGGTTAAATTCTAAATGACTATCTATACTTTCTACATGTAATATGATCTTTGTTAATACAACGGTTTTTATCTAAGAAACTGAATAGTGACTTAGCTGGAACGTTTAGCAACAGCAGCATTAATTCCGAGCGATATATTGTCAAAAAGGAGAGTAACTACTGTCAAATATATTTCAAAAGCCGAGGAAAACCTAACTAACAATTTTGGGAGAAAAATTGACTTATTTGCATTCTTGACACACTTGATGAGACTCAAAGAGTGAAAGAATTGGTTATGATATCAAACACCTAGCCCAAGATAAAGATTTTTAAATTTACGAAATACACTGCAGGCAATGGAGTTATGAATGGTTTTGCCTTCTTCCTCGAATCGATGTAATTGCGATTTTTGGGTCCTCAACTAGAGATACAGACATCTCTTTACAATTTCTGTGAATACAGGGTGATCCAGGGTTATACGGCCAAACAGCAGGAGCCGAAACACCCCCAAATTCGCTCTTTAAACTGGGATTTCAATTTTTTTAGATAATTTATGAATTCAGGGCATAAAAGTACAGGAAAGTACAAATTTTCATGAGATTTGATTTACAACCGTTGCCAAAATTCAGGAAAAAATATTCACTTTCCGAAATTTTGGGGGGCCGTAGCTCCGACTGGGAGCACTTTTGGAAAAAAAATTTAACCGACAAAAAAGTCTTATTTTGACCCATAGAACACGCTCCTGTAGTCTGGTCGTTTAACCCTGGATCACCCTGTACTTTAAAATGAAGAAAGAAATATCATGGAAGATTTTAAAAGGAACTCTTAGTTGGTTTTTTTTTTTTTCAAGTTCAACACACTGGAAAAAAAACACATTGGATCTGGAGTCCAGACTCTTAAAAACATCGACAAGAAAAAGTACTCTTGATTCAACCAGAATCTGGCTTAAATCAAGAACCAAGCCTCTTAATTTAAGCGGATTTCGTTTTGATTCAAGCAAAAATCTGATTGAATCAAGAGAATTTTTTCTTGTCAATGTTTTCAAGAGTCTGGACGCTAGATCCAATGTGTTCTTTTTTCCAATGCATATCACAATTTGAGCGGAGACTTGCAACGTCGGAATCGAACGTGCACGTTTTTCCACTTCAGTCAATATTGACTACCGTAAAACACGCTACTTCGGAAGTGAAGACGGCAACCCGTTCCCGTTGCGTTCCGGTGACGGGTTCCGAGTTCCGAGCGCATTTTTGTGGGGATCCGTGATACTGATAAGTGAGTCTGACAATTAGATCACACGGAAGGACCTTGAGCATTACAAATGAGTGGCTCGCCTGTCGCCCGCACCCGCCCGGCAAAATCGCGACCTCCACAAATTTGGCGCCCCCCGTTCATGCGCGCTGCGTCCAGCCTTGAGCCTTGGAGTCGGCACCAGCATTGCCACGCCAACGGGAACCCTCGCAAGAATTGAGGACCTCGTGCATACGCCTCTCGTACATCGAGTGACGTCACGCAAGTTCGTTCGATAACTTGGCAATGCTGGTTGCGTCGCGACGCCCGGCTTGCACACATCGTGGCCGGCATGTTGCCGCATAGCTTATTCCCTCCGCGTCTCAATCCAACGCGCTAATCCCCGATCGGCAGACGTATTATGATGCTGTGAATGCTTCAATAATTTTGACCTAAAAACGGTCTCTACCAGAGGTAAACAAACATCGTGATATCAGACAATTTCACTGAAATATTCGTTTCTCTTTTCACACGAAGGGAAATGTTGAACCATTACGCCTGGAAGCAAGTTTAACCGGCAAGTGCTGACATTTTTTTCTTCGGAAAGCCTTACCCTGGTAAAAACTGGCGATAAGAGCTGCGTTTCAAAATACCATAGGAATTTTTATAGCCGACTTAAGAAGGCTACAGAAAATCATATAGCTGGCTGTAGAATGCGGAGAAAATCATACGGCCGGGCTATACGAAGCGATAAAAAATTATGCAGACGGGCTATAGTTCCTACCGCCGGGCTTTACACTTCATCGCCTGGCTGTTGCTTTTTCGCCATCGATTATAAAAGGCTATAAGAAATTATGTAGAAATTCGTGTGCTTTGGAAATCATTAAGTTTGATACGGAACCACCTTAATATTTACAAAACACACATTATATTTTTCTTTAATACATATTTTTTTTCATCAATTAAAATGAGAATAATCCATTCAGGATGTGCAAACATTTCAAAATCATGAGTTGAATAACGCTGACTCCGCCAGATTAAATATTAGAGCCTAACACAAAGCGGAGCGGCGGCGCGGCGCACTGGCGCCTACAAACCTAACAGGGATACCTCACGCATTGCGCAATGCGTGAAGTATCCCTGTTAGGTTTGTAGGCGCCAATGCGCGTTCAGCGCTGGCTGCCCGCCCGCCGGCCGCGCCGCGCCGCACCGTACCGCGGCGCTTGAAGCAACTATTTCACACCAGAGGTATTGCACAGTATCATACGAAACTGAAGGCGCTCTAATATATTAGGACTGGCAGACATCCATCAAAAGTACGGAGCTTTCCTCGCAAAATAAATCAAGATAATACGGCCCGAAAAGAGAGCAGTAGTCCAAAAACTCACGAAGTCCTAGCATCCGTAATTAGTAACGTTTAGCATAGGTACACTTTATCGCCTGGCTGTTGTTTAATCGCCATCGGCTATAAAAGGCTATAAGAAATTGTGTAGCCGGCTATAGAAGCTATTGGAAATCTTACAGCCGGCTGTAGGTCTATGGTATTTTGGAACACAGATTCTACTGCCAAATTTTACCAGGGTAACTTAAAAGTTAAAACTTTAAGTATCCGAACACGAAATACTAACGTTAAAAATAAAATACCTATTCTTGGAGTTTCGTACAATGTGAAATTATGAAAAAAGTGTCTTCATGTTTCGAACAGAAATAAAACGCTGTGAATTGCCTCTGACTAAACGGTGGCGACTTGAACTCGAACATCAAATTTCACTGGCTTTCCGTGACTTTTTAGGGAAAAAAACTAACTAGTATTGGCAAAATTCTCTGACTTTAAGAAGAAAACAGAGAGAAACAACCAGTATAATTTCTTAACTATTTTTGGAAAGGCGAACACCTCTTACCATTGCATTAATACGTTGCATATGACGGAATATTTTTGAAAGTTTGATGATAAAAGTATACAGCCGGCGAGCGCAACGCGGCCATTTAAGGCAATCTTCTCTTCAAATGAAATAATTCCCTGACACCTAACCCTCACCTCCCGGATATATTTTTCTTTTTATTAGTTTAGGAAAGAAACCCACTGATTTTTCCGGATTTTCCGAGCTGTCGTCATCCTGAGCTACAATCTGGACCGGCGCGGCGGATGCAATGTAATACTGTGGAAGAACGCCGTATGAACATTCGAGAGTTGCCAAATTTCCTTCGATTAAATGTTTATTTTTGAGGAAAGATATAAATATTTTACCAAGAAATTTTCAGGAACTTCAGGTGAAATTGCGCACAAAATTATCTGAAAAATTGGAGGGAAAATATTCATAAGATTACCAGGAAATTCGTGTTTTATCAAAGGAAATTTGGCAACGCCTGGAGGCTCATACGGCGTTCTTCCTTAGCACGGCAGAATAGTAATGGTAACGCCTTAATGCAACTATTCGTGCTCCAGGGATGTCCGTGTTGAATACGCACAAAAATGAAGGCGCTACGGGGATCTTTCCAATTCCCATGCAGCAATATGCGCGGCTCCCTTATACCAATAGTCGACGATACCGGCTACGATGAATTTATTATAGGGGGAAAAGAACGGACCCCTGCTCCCGTTTTTTTTTTGCTTACACATCTCGTTTAAAATTATATAAAAAAGTTTTTCTATTAATTATATTAATACATTAAAATTGTTCTCACTTGACTGAAGAACAATAAAAATTACGGGGATCAGAACATTCGCAAAAACTATAGGAATTAGGGCTCCTTGTCATCAATTTGAACGGGAGCTTAGCAAAAACATTAACAAAATCATACAGCAATGCCGCCGTTTCGGAAACCAGAAAGCAGACATAAGATGCGTACATGATCGAAAAATTCCTAATGAAGGATGAGAATGTAAATGAATTGAATAGAATTATGAAAAATTTATGTCAGTCGTGCTTATACATGCGATCGTTCACACAGAAATCCACACGTGATAAATCACGGTGATGCTATAGCGATGTCCGGGTAGGATCTATTTTAATTTTAAAGTCATCATTCATAAACCCAAGACATACTGAGTTGAACCAAGACTTATACTGATGAGTGTTCTTGCTTGCTGACCTTGTGGGCTCATCGAAAAACATGACGGGTGGATTGGTCAGAAGCTCCACAGCAATGGACAATCGTTTCTTCTCGCCTCCTGAGATGTTGCCCACTTTAGTTTCCAGGGTTCCGTAAAGTCCCAGAAGTTTGGCGATGTTTTCAATCTGGAATGAAAAGAATGCTGTTAACAGAAACACTCCGATTTGGACCGCGGTCAGCAGAAAGGAACCAAGCCACGACAGCTTTTGCCAACCAACTGCAACTGTGCGATTTAAATCTTTACACGAGAACGCTCGTGCGGATTTTTTTTTAAAATTTTTAAGGAATTCACTTCGCCCAATCATTAAAAGTTATAAAATTTGCAAAAAAATCCGCAGAACCGTTTTCATGAAGAAAATTAAATTGCCCAATCAAATATGGCAATAGCTGATGTGGCTTGGTTCCTTTCTGCTCAACGCGGTCCATTTAGACCTTCCAAAATGCAGTCAATGACTTGCTGTTAAAACTTAAAAAATGTGGCTCAACTGAGATGTTTCAAAATTTACGTATCCACTTTCTTTTCAAAGAGAAACTAACAAATGTTATGTTCTGTTGTCTTCACAAAATATTTTTTAAATGGTAAACATCTTGTTAAAAACTCACAACTTTCACTTTTATTTTATTTCACCAAAAAAAATTATAAAATATATTTTAAGGCGATATATATGAGGCGAAATAAAATTAAAAGTGAGTGGTGAGTGTTTAAAAAGGTGTTTACCATTTACTACGTACTTTCGCTGTTTGTTCTAATTTTTATCAAAATATTTTTTGTAAGTCGAGGAAAAACCAAAGAAAAAAGCAGGACTTACAACTTGCGCTCGTTGCTCTATGGTTTTTTTCTCGCTGAGTTTGAGTTGGGCTGCGATGTCCAAAGTTTCTCGGACGGTAAAGACGGGCAGCATGGCGAACTCCTGCGTGATGTAGCATGACAGCTTGCTGAACTCGGCCAGATTCCTTGGCTTTCCGTTTACCGTTATGAACCCCTGAACGCCAAACCTCCTGCAACCCCCGGATGAAAGAGATTAATTTTCTTGACAAAAGCGAAAAACGAGAACCAGTGATGAGTAACCCTTGTGACAAAGACTGTTTGAAAAATTCGTTAAAATTCATTCGTGAAATTGGCGTAAAGATGGTTTAAAATAATTATTTTTCAAAGAGATTTATAAAAAAACAAAAATTCGAACATTTTAAATGCTGTACGTGAGACCACGATAGATCTTTTTGGAGTTTTTCTTTCGACACTCATTTAACTTAAATTTTCACACTTGTAAATTTTACTAAACAAATAATGACAAGGGTTTCCTAGAGGATTCATTGTAACAGTTTTTTTTAAGTTGTTGATACGAATTTTCTACAAAGCACTTTTCTCCACAGTCGTTGCTGCTTGAGTCATACCTAGAATCGATTTACTAATGAATTGGTTTCTTTGATGGCATGGCAAATGGAATAAATTATCCATAGAGATATCAAGATCTGAGGATTATGGATTATTCTCAGTTAAGATAGGTATACAAAAAAATTAAAATAAAAAAAATGAGCGTGAGAAAAAAGGAATAGTTAATTAGAATAGACGGATATTATGCTCGCCGTTCCGATCAATTTACTTTTTCTATACTTTTTTTTTGAAGTGCTTTAAAGGGTCCATATCAAGTTCGATGTACTGCAGCAGTATCGCATAATTAATAGAACTTTCCAAATGCGATAAATAATGCCGACAAAAAACTATGGGCCACATGAGATGGGTATTGCGACATGAACCGGTTCGGTCCTCAGCAGTCGGCAGTCAGCATCCACATCGCGAAAACTGGCACAGTGCGCGGTGTGACGAAAATCCGAGTTAATCCTGATTAGGTTAGGCAGCCTCATCGCGATCTCGTGTACCACCCGATTGTTACGATTTGGACCGCGTTTAGCAGAAAGGAACCAAGCGACATCAGCTATTGCCAAATTTAACCCGGTAATTTAGTTTTTTACGAGAGAACGTTTATGCGGATCCCTATGAAAAGTTTAAGAAATTTGCTTCGCACTGAGAAGAAAATTCGCTGAAATTTGCACAAAAATTTGCACAGCCGATTTCATGTAAAAAATTAAATTGCCCAATTGAATTTGGCAATAGCTGATGTGGCTGATTAGGTTAAGCAGTATCATCGCGATCTTGTACCGCCCGATTGTTACGATTTAGACCGCGTCTAGCAGAAAGGAACCAAGCAACATCAGCCATTGCCAAATTTAACCGGGTGATTTAATTTTTTACGAGAGAACGTTTGTGCGGATACCTATGAAAATTTTAAGAAATTTGCTCCGTATTGTGCAGAAAATTCACTGAAATTTGCACGAAAATGTGCATAGCCGTTTTCATGTGAAAAATTAAATTGCCCGATTAAATTTGGGAATAGTTGATGTGGCTTGGTTCCTTTCTGCTAAACGGGGTTCATTTGTGACTGTGTTGAAAGGGCGAGCGGATTTCCGCTGGAGCCACGAATCCGAGCGGAAAAAGTGAGAATGTGCACCTTTCCACGGTTAAAGAGCTCTGCTTCGTATGACAGTGACTGTCCGACCATTGTATTCAACAGATACAGGGTGATCCAACCGTTCCATACCACCTCTGTAACCCCGAGGGCTTTTGACCCTTTTCAGGATGATCTTTTTAAAATGTTGAGGAGTACAGCTAAAGTCGTTTTCTTTGACCTAGGAACACCAACAAAATTTCAAGACTCGATCTCAATTTGTTCGAAAATTACAGGGGTGAAGTCTAGGGTTGCTCAACTGAGATGAAAAATGTGAAAGATTGGAAATTTCCGTGAAATGTTTCATGAAATTTCACCAAGTTGAGAAAAAATGCAGCATGTTTTCAGGGTGGACCGTATGCAACACGCACTAATAAACACCAAAAAGCAAAAACCATTTGCTTTTCATTCAATTTCGTACTTTATTTCGAAAAATATTTTTCAATATCCATATTTTTTTTTAAATTTCCTAAGATATTTTACGTAAAATTTCAAGATTTTATTTTTTATGAAAAACTGCGACCCTGGATGTCTAGTGTTGGTGGTACTGGACCTTTAAATTACCCTATATACATCGAGTTGATAATGATTCCGGCCTTCTTAAATACTTTGCATACCAGTGGCGTGGCGCGAATTGCGATGTATCGATTGTTCTGCCTTTTAAACCTATGGTAAAGAATCGATTATTAAGGTATTCGCTGCAAACACCCTGTTTATCGATCCTTTTCCATAGGTTCAAATGGCATAAAAATCGATATATCGCAATTCACGTCATGCCACTGCATACAGGAGCAATGACGTTATGTAAGATAAACATGTACATCGTCTTTTCCCAGAGCCAGAGCTCCTTTCAAATGTTGCAAAAGAAAAAATTGCCCAAAAACAAAGTTTTACTAGTTTTAGCCGCTTTTTCAATTTTCAGATTTTTTTATTCATTGAAAATCATGACGAGTGACTGAAAATTGATGATATTCGCAATTCCTTCCATTGATGAAAGAGCGTTGACTAAGCCTGACTAACAGGTACGAAGTTTCCTCGACATTGATTGGCAATTAACAACCTACAACCAGACGATAAATCAAGCTTTAAAAGTATTCATTTTCTACACGAAGTACTCGCTGCGACTGGCGCTTCCCGAGTCGAATCTCAACTTTTATGATATTTGATCATAAAAAAGTCATAAAATTGGCCGAGCAGAACGCAATTGTACATGATTGATGCGATCAAGGGTATACTGCTGAAGAGAATTGAGAAATTAAATCGTTTGTATAATTACACAGAGCAACAAAAAATAGAAAAAATGTTCCAGGCTTGCAATAAAGTGTGTTTTTTAAGTATTTTGATCCTATCCCGAAAAAATAACAAAAATTCTGCTTCTTCAATTGGATTTTCACATTAAAACGCAGTAGGAACTGTCTTGCCCAGATATTTTAAATTATTTGCACACTTCGAATGATAAGTTAGGTGCCTGATTCATCAACTGGGCTGGAACAATGTATTATTTACATACTTAAGTACAACTTTCCGTATCTAAAATCATAACACTAGTTTCATTTTAAAGGCTGATCAAAGGGTTCCGTGGCATGAGCCACATACACTATCGAATATTATTTGAATGGTTTATTCTCACATACTTGTAATGTCCCCCTCTCAGCCAGACATGTTTTATATCTTGTCCTACCTACCAACGACTAAAATCCAGATTTTTCGGTCTTCTTTCTGAGCTCATTGCCGTGCTTCATACTTTCAAAATTTTCTCATCAAATCCCTCCCTTTTTTAAACGACTTAACCTCCAAATTTAATTTTCGTTTCTCTATCCTTTCCTCCAATTTTTTGATCCCTGCTGTAGGTGTTAATGACCCTGCTTTGTTATAAAGCACCTATAAATAAATGTATAAAACAACAACACGATAAGATCCGTCCGGAAGTTGACTGCCAACAACTTCTTAAAAACACGGCGACGGTGAATGAACCGCCATCAACATCATCAGGCGAAAAATGGTGTTAGCTCCAGGAATTTCCTCTCACCTAAATTAACTTTTTCCTCGCCTGATTGCATTGGCCCCCGAAGGATTATGTTTGAGCTTGGATCTAATGCGATAAAAGGGAGAATTTCTGATTTTCTACCAGGGTGTCTACTTAAAACAGGCTAGCCAAAAATCAGTACTTTTTCAGTACATTCCCAAGAAATTCAGTATCTCCTCAACAGAGAAATTCAGTACTTTTTCAATATCTTCAACTGACGATATTCGAAAAATTTCAAAAATTTGAATTTCCGCCTCAAATTGCGACAAAAATTATAAGAATTCCGGACTTTCTTGCAAAGTTTCCGCACTTTTTCAGTGCTTCCGGACCGCCCTTGAAAAATCAATACTATTTCCGGACGTTCCGGAAATTCCGGATTTGTAGACACCCTGACTCGCCTAAGTTAACTTTTCCCTCACCTGATTGCATTGTCACCTACAGGATCATGTTTGTAATTGGATCTTCTTCGATATAAGGGAGAATTTCTAATTTTCCACGATTACGTTTACGTCAAAAATTTGAATTTCCGACTCAAATTGCGACAAAAATTATAAGAATTCCGGACTTCCTAGCAAAAAAAGTGTAGAATTGTGAGCGCAGGTCAAAAAGGATCCGAAGCGGAACGCTGAAGATAAGACAGGACCGGGTCAACGCTTTGCATACTTGCGCCGATTAAAATGTAATGTGCAAATGAAGTTCTGATTGCGAGACACGCGTGCTACAAGCCGTTGCTTCTCTGACGTAAGGGCGTATCTCTATTTTCACATGAGCCCCGGAGAGCAAGTGCCCATATAGAAAACAAGGCTCACGTTGAAATCGTCAGAAGAGCGACAAAGTGCCTCTCGGATTTATCGCTAACGAATTAGTCCTGACAATGAGATACGCTCCGATAAGTCCCGGTTTATCACTTTTCGATGTAATTATACGTATAATATCCAGATGATGTATAGATAATATTATATTCACGTAACAAATTTGATCAGCCAAACATAATACAGAGAAAAAACACAAAAAACCAGGGTGCAAATTGAAAATAAAAACTATACTATTCGGGGCGTTTCGGGATTAACATGCTCTTTTTCGACCAGTAAAAAATTAAAATTACGAAAACGCGAGACGCCGCTTAACGGCAAGGCTAGACTAATAACAATAACAGTATGAATTTTATTCATTGTCATCGATTTAAACCCAAAAATAATCCAATAGCTCCGAATGATATGTGGTCATGGCCTTTTAGGTAACCTATATGTACAGTTATTCGAGCCTCTGCTGCTGAGTTCAGTAAATTTGTCCAAAATATAGCAATGATTGAACGTATTTTCGATATAGTTTCACATCGATTAACTTACATAAAGTTAGGGTTGCAGGAATTTTTTAGTCTTCTTATTTTCCGGGCTTCATATTTTAAAAATCCCTTTCATTCTTTTGCTTTGAAATTCATTCCAAATTGCCGAAATTTTGCGAAAAACGCACAGATTTCTCCGCGAATATACGAAAAACTCGGCAATTTCCCAGATTCTGCGAAAAACACGTAACTTTCTTCGCAATTCTTTGAGAAAACACGCGATTTTGACGCTGCTGCGAGCTGTCCAGCCCATTTTTCAATCAGGATCGCGTGATCAGAAAGTTTCTGCATCCTTGTATAGATTGTCCTCTCTACGAGTTTAAAATTAACCACTGCACGTTACAATAAACGGTTCAGCCAATTTTTCTAAAATTCAGAAAATTTGCTGAAAATTACCGTACTTTATCGCTTTGGAGTGAAGGGGTTAGAATTTTACTGAGAGTCCAGCGCATTTGGAATCGGGGGCTCATTTTCCAAGGTAAGACGATCACAACACTACCTTGCACATTTCTCCGAGTTCAGCTTTCTCTGGTAAAAATTGGCAGTAGAATCTCTGTTCCAAAATACCACAGACCTACAGCCGGCTGTAAGATTTCCAATATCTTTTATAGCCGACTACACAATTTCTTATAGCCTTTTACAGCCGATGGCGATTAAGCAACAGCCGATGGCGATTAAGCAACAGCCGATGGCGATTAAGCAACAGCCGATGGCGATTAAGCAACAGCCGATGGCGATTAAGCAATAGCCAGGCGATAAAGTGTATGCTAAACGTTACTAATTACGGATGCTATAGGACTTAGTGAGTTTTTGGACTAACGCTCTCTTTTTGGTACATAGTATCTTGATTTATTTTGCGAGAAAAGCTCCGTGCTTTTGAAGGATGCCTGCCATTCCTAATATGTTGGAGCGCCTTCAATTTCGTATGACACTGTGCAATACCTCTGGTGTGAAATAGTTGCTTCAAGCGCCGTGGCACGCTGCGGCGCGGATGGCGGGCAGCCAGCGCGAAACGCGCATTAGCGCCTACAAACCTAACAGGGATACTTCACGCATTGCGCAATGCGTGAAGTATCCCTGTTAAGTTAGTAGGCGCCAGTGCGTCGCCGCTCCGCTTTGTGTTAGGCTCTGATATTTAATCTCGCGGAGTCAGCGTTTTTCAACTCATGATTTTGCACACTCTGTATGGATTATTCTCATTTTAATTAATGAAAAAAAAAAATATGTAATAAAGGAAAATATAATGTGTGTTCTGTAAATATTATGGTGATTCCATACAAACTTACGGATTCACAAAGCTCACGAATTTCTACACAATTTCTAATAGCTTTTTGTAGCCGATGGCGATAATCTGTATAGCCCGGCTGCATAATTGTTTATCTCTTCGTATGGCCCGGCTGTATGATTTTCTCCGCTTTCTACTGCCAGCTATATAATTTTCTGTAGCCTTCTTTAGTTGGCTATAAGAATTCGTATGGTATTTTGAAACGCAGCTCCTATCGCCAATTTTTTGCCGGGTTTTCTTTTCCTGGAAGAATATCGTTAAAACCTTCCTGTACAATTTTTCGGGTACCTACATTGAATACCTTTTAAGATTTAACCAGAGGTTGAAATTTTTAGTACAAAATTGCCCCTCTAGACTCCAAAATATCACTTGGATTGTGAGATGTACCTAGTTTCTAAGCCTTGAAATCCCTCCCCCCCCCCAAAAAAAAAAATAAATAAATAAATAAATAAATAAATAAATAAAAAATAAAACAATTTAGGTGGTGCTTGACTCACTTGAATCCGGATATTATGTGAAGAAGAGAGGTTTTCCCGGCACCGGAGGGACCGAAAATGGCGGTGAGGCGTCCCGGCTTGAACCTTCCGCAGCAGTCATCTAGAATTGGGGCTTTACCACTTCCTGAAAACAATTAAAAAACAAAATTAGAATGATGGAATTGGAGCCAGGCCAAAAAAAATGGATACTGGCGAAAGGGATACCTGATCAAACACATTTCCGGTATAAATAATCAAAGCTACGAGATAGACAAAAGTATTGGATATACTGGAGATTAGGATTTTATCCTGATCATTAGGGTTTACGTTGGTAGGATTAACCCAGAGACAAGATTAACCCGATGGATCTTCGTGATTTTGGCGGGTACATTTCATTTTCAATAAGAGGGTCTATTTTATGGATCCTCATGAAGAGCACAAAGAAACACTAAGTTCAAATTTAAGCATTACTTATGTTTTTTCATTAAAATTTAACATAGGATACGATATTATTAGCAACGAAAATTACTGGAAGTTACTTCTAACAAAGACCTTTTTCGAAGCATTAATTCAAACTTGCACAACTACAACCAACGACGTGAAATTTTGATGAGAGAACATCATACATACATCATATTTCTTAAATTCGCAGCTTGTCTAGTGGTCCATTGTATATGTACACATCAAAATATCATTGATAGAAAAACAGTTGGACTAATTTTTGCAATTAGGAACTAAAATTTCTGACTCATCCGTGAAAACACGTAAATACATAGGGAAACTAATGGCACATACGTTGTTTCTAAACTGAGACCGAAATTGTGGTTCCTTTTTGCGAGATGTAGTCCAGTCTTAAGGTGATTCGATGGACGCCATATTTTGTGTCAGAACGGCATGCGATATATCGCATCAATTGGTTCCATTTTTTCAGCTACTCTTCATTTTTCTCCAATTTTGAGATCGCAATTCTGTTGTCAGGAGACTGAAGCACTCCCTTACCAATTTTAACAAGAAACGTAATAAAGGCGTGGTTTTTTTAGAGAGAAAATATAGTATTCGAGTGCAGTTTCGATATCAGTATCGAATGCGATGTTTTCCCTCTAAAAAAACCACGCCTTTATTACGTTGAATTTCTTTGTTGAAATTGGTAAGTGAGTGCTTTAGTCTCCTGACAACAGAATTGCGATCTCAAAATTGGAGAAAAATGACAAGTAGCTGAAAAAATGGAACCAATTGATGCGATATATCGCATGCCGTTCTGACACAAAATATGGCGTCCTTCGAATCACCTTAAAATGAAAATCAAATGGAAAAAATTGAGAAAGAGTGCACTTTGCAGTACATATTAAAAAAAGAAACGAAGAAATGGACTCAACCTCGCCGTTTCTACGTCGCTGAAGAATTTGCGATAAAAAATGAGGTAACGAGGCCACTTTTCCGGAAAACTATCCTCCGAGTCAGAGCTAGCTTCGCCCGGCATCCGAACAGGCAAATTAAAATACAGCGGTTCGCTCGAATTTAAAAGACGACGCGTTACTTTGCTTTGCATTTCAAATTAGTGACGTATGAAGTGTGAACGCACCGAGATGACGTTTACCCGACAAAGATCTCCATTCCTATTGGAGATTTTTTTTACTTCTTCAAAAGTGCATCATTCCATAATCGGCGAATCTTGAAGAACACACGATCCACCTATTCAAATACTCATTTATTATCACGTTCACGTTGTTGTGAGGCTCGCGGTGAAGATACAACCCACTTGGAAATTTTCTCAAACCTTTGTTTAAAAAAGAGAAGGGAGGGTCGTAGGTCGTGCACAAGCTCATGCATACATTTTTAAAATTTACACTTGAAAAGGACAAAACGACGTTAGGTCAGTACACCTGAATTCGTTATTGAGCGATGGTAAAATATTCAAAATAAGACCTATCCCCAAATGCTTGTAAAACTTTCCGTCTGGTGGTTGTATGGCGGGCTGAAAATTGATTGTATTCACGTCATGTGTGTTGTCCCAGCCTCCGGACTGCAGGAGCTTGTTTTATGGGTCAAAATGAGAATTTTTCCCTCTGCAGAATTTTTTCCTCCAAAACACAGGCGGATCTAGAGGGGCGTAAGGGGGCGTGCGCCTCCCCCCCCCCCTTCGCCCGAAAAAAGGAGGAGGAAACCGAGGGGAAAGGAAGGAGGGAGGAACGGAGGAAAAAAGAGGGAAGGACGCTTGTGCTTGGTAATTATTCGTGACAAAAAGATTCAAACTGCATATTATATGGTTTCTTTCGTAAATGTTATGGGGGAAATCCCCAGAATCCCCTCCCTCCCCAGTTCAAAGTGTCTGGATCCGTCAAAGTTCCAAAAGTATCCCTAGATCGAGCAAATGTTATTATTTTACAGATGATGGATCATAAAATGAAAGGATAAAAATAAGACCTACTTCACTGAAAAAAAAGATTAGTAGAATTTACCAGAGGAATGGTTACCTCTACCAGTATATAGTAACGTTTACCTTTCTTCTGGCAGAATTGACTCTGAATTGACGCTGTGTGATACATCGCTGAGTGTACTCATAAAGCTACTTTAACCTAACTATCTATAGTCCCTGGTTAAAATTGGCAGTAGAATTCGTGTTCCAAAATACCATAGACCTATACAGCCGGCTGTAAGATTTCCAATAGCTTCTATAGCCGGCAACACCATTTCTTATAGCATTTTATAGCCGATGGCGACTAAGCAACAGCCTGGCGATAAAGTGTATGCTAAACGTTCCTAATTACGGATGCTAGGTCTTAGTGAATTTTTGGACTACCGCTCTCTTTTTGGGCCTCAATATCTTGATTTAATTTGCGAGGAAAGCTCCGTATTTGAAAATTACCTGCCATTCCTAATATGTTGGAGCGCCTTCAATTTCGTATGATACTGTGCAACACCTCTGGTGTGAAATAGTTGCTTCAAGCGCCGCGGTACGCTGCTGCGGCGCGGCGCGGCGGGCGGGCAGCCAGCGCTGAACGCGCATTGGCGCCTACAAACCTAACAGGGATACTTCAGGCATTGCGCAATGCGTGAAGTCTCCCTGTTAGGTTTGTAGGCGGCAGTGCGCCGCCGCTCCGCTTTGTGTTAGGCTCTAATATTTATTCTCGTGGATTCAGCGTTTTTCAACTCATGACTTTGAAATGTTTGCACACTCTGTATGGATTATTCTCGTTTTAATTGATGAAAAAAATATGTAGTAAAGGAAAATATAATGTGCGTTTTGTAAATATTAAGGTGATTCCGTACAAACTTAAGGATTTACAAAGCATAAGAATTTCTACACAATTTCTTATAGCCATTTATAGCCGATGGCGAAAAAGCAACAGCCAGGCGATAATGTGTAAAGCCCGGCGATAGGAACTATAGCCCGGCTGTATAATTTTTTATCGCTTCGTGTAGCCCGGCCGTAAGATTTTTTCCACTTTCTACAGCCAGCTATATGATTTTCTATCGCCCTCTTCAGACGGCTATAAGAACTCCTATGGTATTTTGAAACGCAGCCCCTACCGCCAATTTTTACCAGGGCTTTTTTCACCCATTTTTCTTCTCCATAATTACCAATTTCCTCCCAAATTTAAAAACTTGGATCTGATGTGCGACCTTCCTCCTAAACCTGAGAAAATGGATCTGATGTGCAATCAAATGTGAGAAAGGCTTAAACCGTCAGTTTAATTTCTTTTTCTTTTTCTATTCTTAACTGATAATAGAGTCAAACTGCGTTGAGAAACCGATGGAAGGTGAGAGATTCTACAACGCGTTAAATGCGCTCTAGAAGCACGGGCTGAATGGGACACCCATAGATGTGCTGTGCTGTAAGCAGTACGATGACCACAACACAACTAGAGGTTCCCTTCTCCGCGATGGTATTTGATTCGTATGAACTTACGAACAAGTAACAAGACGACGCGACGTGAGACGTGAGTCTTGAAACTATTCGAAGAAGAAAAAAAAACATCGTTTACAGTGCAATTCACGGCACTCGACTGCCTTCATATGGGCACACAGTCTTGCCAATTTTAAGGCGGACAAAACCGCTTCTTTATAAAGAGAATTTAATTTTATTTGACCCTATATGAGTCGATTCATGCACATGCTGCATTATACCGGTAAGCAGGATTGGACGTCCCTGGTCTATGTCAAACTATGTCTACCAAATCGACGTTGGACGGTCTACTAGAATATAGATGACTAGATTTTCGGTGAGAGTGTGTGACTGTGTGCGTTATACTTGGCTAGATCAGCGTGCCGATAATTGAAATTGATAGACAAAGCTATAAACAAAGAAGACATAAGGAGTATAAAGCAATCCTATCGGTTGAAATAGGTGGTTCTTATAGACTGAGGGGGTAAATGGTGGATTAACTACTATAGGGTCTCTCGTGGGTTGCCGTTAGTTAGTCTATTACCCACGTCCTTTATCCATTACAACCACCCGCTTCCACCAATAGGCTCCCTCCATATCCGTTTTGTCTTTTTTGTCTATTGGTTTGTCTATCAATTTCAATAATCAGCCCGCAGAATCTTACTACGTCAGTCTCTGCAGCATATCGAGGAGCTTCCGATCCCTGAAAAGTCTCGTAAACACACGATATACATGCTGCCGTGCTAAAAGGAGGAACGCCGTACGAACATTCGAGAGTTGCCAAATTTCCCCGAACAAAACACAAATTGTCGAAGAAAGTTATGCGTAGTTTTCCTCAAAATTTTCAGATATTTTGGATTAAATCGTGAACAAAATCTTCTGAAAAATTTGGGGGAAATATTCAGAATTTTCCTAAAAAATTCGTAGGTTATTAAAGGAAGAATGGAAACGCCTGAAGGGTCATACGGCGTTTTTCCTTGGCACGGCAGCATCACCTGCTGCGTGGATCTTCTAGGATGCCACTATTCCGACGTGTTAATCTACTTTTGCCTACTACACACTAGAAGAAAAAAAACACATTGGATCTAGAGTCCAGACTCTTGAAAACATTGACAAGAAAAAATACTCTTGATTCAATCAGATTTTTGCTTAAATCAAAAGGAAATCCGCTCAATAGAGGCTTGGTTCTTGATTTAAGCTAAAATCCGATTGAATCAAGAGTATTTTTTCTTGTCGATGTTTTTAAGAGTCCGGACTCT